ATTATATGTAATCCTTGCTTAACAACCACAATAGGGACCAGAAAATTGGTTGTTAAGTGGGGCTGTCGTGAAGCGAGGCATCACGTGACTGCACCCAATTTTATGACATTTTTCTGGTGGTCGTTAAGTGAATCACCCGGTTCCCCATTGATTTTGCTTGCCAGAAGCCAGCTGGGAAGGTCGCAAATGGTGATCACATGATCCCAGGATGCTGCAACCGTCGTAAGTGCAAGCTGCTTGCCAAGCACCTGGATTGCAATTACGTGACCACAGAGGCACTGCGATGGTCATAAGTGCGAGGACCAGTCGTAAGTTACTTTTTTAGCACCATCGTAACTTCGAGCGGTCACTAAATGAATGGTTGTTAGACGAGGATTACCTGTACTTGTACAGGCACATATAAAAATTATTAATGCACTTTAAATATTTAGATCAATTCCCATTTACCTTTAGATAATAGAGTTTGGCTGCCTATCATCCAGTTTTTTTTTAAATAGTTCTGTCTATTCCTTCCCCATTCTCCAGTGCGGCTATTAGAAGAGTTGCAGTCTGTGCTGCCTTGAGTGTGTTCAAGGGACTTTGGGACTTAATAATTTAATAATAATAATAATAATAATAATAATACTGTTAATAAATAATATGTTTTATAATTTAATAATATTAATTTCCTTCATAATCTTGAAATCACTTCTCATTCCCAGGAAGTCATAGCACAGTGTAAGAAGATACTTGCTTCCACAGAGCCATAGAATCATTCCTTGAAATCTCACCTGCCATATTTTGGACCTATTCCCTGTTCTTCAGTAACTTAAGAACAGTAGTAATCACTTGCTGGTCATTGACCATGCTTTTAAAATTTGTACTAAAATCTAAGAGGAAGTGATAGCTCATTTTTTTTTTTTTTTTTGGCAAATTAGACAGTTGTGACAAGATGGACAATCATTTGCCCACTCTGTTTATTAAAGCATTTCTAGGGAAGAATGAAAAACGTCCATAAAGATCCACAGATCTTTTCCCTTAATCTTTATATCCAGGATGCCTCTGCATAGTCTTAAGGCCCATCTTGGGACTTAATCCACATTCACACTAGGTCTCACCTCCCAAACTGAAAATTGAGCATTGGAAGGCTGGGGTCAGAGGCCACTACAGGAAGAAATCCATTTCTAAATTATGGACTTTGGGCATCCTTGATTCCCCCCCCCCCCCCATGTGCTTTAGAGCAATCAATCCTAAATTAAACCCTTTGAATTCAGTTTGATTTCAGGATGAAAGTTTTTAAGCCTTGTTTAGGTCTGTATGTTTTGATGTGAAATAATAGAAAACTTGTCACAGTTTTTAAAAATTACTGTTCTCATTGGTGACTAAAATCATTTCCAACTCATTGTGGTTATTTTAAAGGGCATATTTTTAATAATTGCTACTAGAGATTGGAAGTTTTGACTTAGTTGACTGTTCTGGTTATCAGAGACCAATTGGGTGAGTAAAAGCCATCTTTCAGTTGGATATGACCTAGCAGCTGTTAAATTAAATGTGAATTATACTGGTCACTGCCTAAAAAATTATTGGCATTTGATCCTTGAGTTATTTTGCTTGCTTTTAAAGTACTATAGAATTTTTTTTGTTGAAAAGGCAGTGCGCAGTATATATCTTCAGATTTACAAATAGGCTTGTGTTACAGTGTCAAAGTTTAATAATGGATTAGTGCTTACTGACTAAGACCGTGAATATTCACTAAACTGACTTACATGTCCATTCAAGATCTGTCAACAAACATATGAAACCATTAATCTTAGAAACACATTGTAAAATATTAAATATCATTGAGAAAGAAAGAAGATATAGTCATGTATCACTGAATACGAAAATGAAGGTTTGTTTCCCAGTTTGACAATAGCATATATGGAAGTGGCATAAGGATTGTTTTTCACTGATGGAGCTGTTGGACATTCCGCTTTTCCGAAGGGCTTCTGGAGCCTAATGCCATATGCTATGTTCAGGGCTTTATTTGTTTCATGTTTATAGTTTATATTTTATTGTATGTTCTCATCTTGTGAGCCCCTGAGAGTCCTGTGATTGAGGTGGGGTTTATTATGATTAATAAACAAATAAATAACCTTTTGTATTAAGGAACCTGATTCCAAGTCTTTTATCTGCTTTTTTATCCACTTTAAAGTCCTTTTTTCCGTCCTGGAAATATTCTTGGTGTCATGTACTACTTTAGAGTTAGAGATCAAACTGAAGTTTGTTGGCTTGGACTTAATAAAAAGCAATTATTTGACAGATCTTAGATGTTTTACATTATGGCAGCCACAACATTGGTTTTTCAGTTCATGATTTAAGATTTCTGTATCTTAAACAGGCCAGTGTTTGAAGTTTATGAGAAGTGTTGTACAGTATTCTGGGAACAAGGGTCATGTGCCTTGGCATAGCACATTTGATCATTTCACATACACCTAGTTCTTACAAAAGTTCTATAATGTAAGCTGGTATTACCAGTTTTCATCAAGCTCACTTGCCAGTGTCCCTGAGGTGAGAAAGTAAATGATCTTGCCAAGTAAGAATTCTCAGGGAAATACAATGCATTACTGCAACATAATTAAGTTGCTAGAAAAACATGAAATATATTTTTGGGGGGGGGAGTTTAAATGAGTTTTCTGGTTCCGAATGGGATCTGCAAAGATTTCCTCTTTTCCCTCGATTTAATTTTGTTGGGAAATACTGTAGGTCTTATTGATGGGCTAAGGGAGAGAAGTGAGCCATAGCATTTTCATACTTTCTTTGAAGCTGATCTGAATTTTAGTTTCTGTTTATGTGGAAAAGTATTTCCTTTCTCTTAGAGCCAACTGGTTCCTGCAGTTTCGATCTGATTGCAAGTTGATTTTTTAGAAGGAACTGCAAGAAGCAGTTCCTTAATAGGAAAAGGAGGGGGGGGGGAGGTGATTTCAGAAATTCCTTGAAGTTCCCTGCAGAGTTACGTCATTTATTCCTCCTTGTTTGTACTTCTGTCTTACTCTCAGTTCCACTTTCTGCCCCAAATCTCAGTAGTGGGCTATGGAGCTTCTCTACAAGTTTGGAGGATGATTAAAAGCAAAAAGAAAAAGAAAAGTATTGAACATATGCAACAAAGGAAAAAAAGATATGGAGTAAAATTTTTTAAGTGAGAAGGAAAAATGCACCTTCCAGAATTTTTTAACCCTATTTTGAAAACACATGTTCTGTGGGACTTGCCAAGGCGATTTCTTTAATTTTTAGAAAGTGATGAAATCTATAGGGAACAGCACTATATAGTTAGACTTTTCTTAATTCTGTGAGTGGATCCATCCGATACCCATGGTGAGTACTATGGAAAAGTACTTTTCATGCACTTAGAGGCACTGTTATTCTATTATTAGTTATTGAAAACCGTTTTGGTTATTAATCCTAAACTTAATTTGTGGCACCCCATTTATTATCACAATATTTTGAGATTGCATCCAGAAAGACAGTGGTTTACCTAAAGTCTTGTAACTGCAAAGAGTCTTAGAGGAAACAGATTATTTGAACCTCTAGCAGTTAGGTTTCAGGCTGGGGTATAACATGGAAACTGCCTTAGTCATATCTGGATGTGACCTGTGAAGAGGCTGGGATCAAGGAAGTATACCTTCTTGGTCCTCCTTTCAGTAGCTTTCAGTACCATTGACTATGGTATCCTGAACCATCTTAAAGAGTTTGGGATGGGGGGCAATGTCTTGCAATGGTTCTCCATCTCCCTGAAGGGATGGTTCCAGTCAGTGATGATGACAAAATAGAGATCTCTGAAATACAGATGAAGTTGTATTTGGTGTGAGGTTCAATACCATCAATATGTTTATTATATCCAGCTATACGTCTCATCCCTTGGCCAAAGCAATGATGTAATGAAAGCACAGATCCAGTGCCTGGAGTACATCCAGTCAGAATGGGGAAGAACAGACTACAACTGAATCCATCTAAGACAAAAAGTGGTTTGTGGATCTAATGGTTCTAGGGAAATTCCATCTTTTACTCTGAATGAAGTTATACTACCTCATCCAGGGATGGTCTGCAATTTGGGGTTCTCTTAGATTCACAGCTCCTACCTGAAGAGTAGGTGGTAACTGTGGCTAGGAGTCACAGTTTTCAGTAGCTGCCCTCGCTCTTTGCCCCATCTCCTCAAAAGTAGCAGTCTGGCCAGCTTTGAAGTGTTGAAGACCTAGCTGTTCTGCTTAGCTCAGGAGGAGGGTGTGAAGGTGATTATGTGGGTGCATGATATGTATTTTCAGTTTTTCATTCTTTAAAAATTATCATGTTTATGTACACTTGAGGTTTTGGATTGTTATGTTTTATGTTGACACTGATAGCTGCTCTGAGAATTTTTGGAAAAAGATGGCAGACAAGCACACACAGATCTGTCTGTGGCTGAGATGAAACTTATAACAGACTGCATTCTTAGGCTTTGAATGTGGGGTCCAAACAATCTTTTTGAAGCAATGTAAGTCTCTGTCTAAATTTTATTCTGGAATGGTTGTTGGAGACCTTTACGTGGTATTTTTAGAAATCTGATTAAATTCTGATGGGAATGTGCCACTTGTAAATTGCTTATCTGCCCTCAACCTTTGCAGTTCACTTCTCCATTTCTCTCACATGGTGAAGACTGTAGAGCTCGTGTAGTAACTCTAGAGGCTGGTTAAGAAATAGTGCTATACATCTAAATAAGTAATGCTACAATCTATTTCTCTCTTTTCTCCTGCGTGTCCAACAAATCATTTGCTTTTAGAAAAAGATTCTTCATACAGGAGTGTGTTATAATGCATTAGAAACCTTAAATTTGGAAATAGAGACTGCATACCACCTGACTTCTCCTCCCAGTCCTCCAAATGGCCACCTGTATCTCAAATGTTTCAGGCATGTTTTTCACAGCTGGTTATATTTTTAAACCAGTAATTTGAATGCTCAGTTAACAATCCTGTTAGCTCCCAGTGGGCTCTTCTTGACTTGTAGTGTGTTTTTCTGTATGCTGGAGGAGAGCTGAAATAGGTTTCGTTAAAAGAAGAGTCTCCAGAACTGACCCTGCAAGCTACATTCCTTGCTGAAGGGCATGTTTTTGGAAAATCACTTACTTTTTATTTCACCACCAACAAAATTGCCTGTCACCATTAAGGGGTGCAGATGAAATTTGAAAGAATACCAGTTTTCTGCATAAACCTCTGGAAGAGAATCCAGCATACTTGCTGTCAGTGGAGATGCCAGGTTTAGTGTTGGGGAAAAGGTGGGCACCAGCATCTCCAACTCCCAGGTAAGTTGCTGACTGTTGTTCTACACTGGATGTTGCTAGTAAAATGCCTCTCTTTTTCTATTCTTTCACTGATGTTTGACCTTTTCCTTTTGGATTTTTCTGAGTAGGTGGATGATTTTCAGAGCCAGAAGCCCCAGAGATAATTCATTCTGTATTGTAATAAAAACTGGTTGACATCTGAAACTGTATTTCTGTTTTACCAGGTAGTTGATCTGAGAGAAACCATTTATGAATGATCATTTCACTTATGATGGCAGACCAGCCACCTCCATTAGAAGCCACACCTATTTTGAATGAAGTGCCACTTCTACCTCATATGGTCAATGGGGACACCACACAACAGGTAAGTTGATCTGCATAAGATGGGAGTTTTCAAGTTGTTCTCTTCTGCAAATGTGTAGATTCATAGGACGGAATCACATATTCTATGCCACTTTTTAGCGAAGGATGTTTAAGCAAGCTATGACTTAACATATGAGAGAATCTCTTCATAATCTTTGGAACATGACAGTGATTTCATTGAGATTGGATGACAAGGTATTTGACCATTGTCGATACATATGACAGTATCAGTTCCTTTTCTCCACTGTATGGTTGTTAACTCTGAAAAAATAGCTAGATGACAATCAGATATAATCATAATTTAAAAACAGTGGGAAAATGGTCCTTCTGTAGAAGTCTGTGATTACTGTAATAAAACTATTACCATAAAATGGAGAATACTCAGTTTTATAAACTCAATGAATTAACGACAGGAAGAACCATATTGTCATGTGATTTTCTAAAGATATGAAAGCGTTAATTTAAGGAACTGAAAATATATGAAGCTATTGATGCCAGATGTAAAATGGTATTTCTTTCTAGATACATACAGAATCTAGCATACATGCAAATCTAAGGTATCCATGCTGTGGCATTCTAAAATAGCTTTTGCTGGCTGATCATTTTTATTTGCTTTCATTTTCTTTGTATTAGGAAAGATCTGTATTGCTTCTGGCTTCATTGAGTTGCATTGCACAATGGAGTGCTGATATATTTCCTTCTTTTATCTGTTTAATCAATTTTAATAATAGCATCTATAGTTAAGAGATAATAATGTGAAGATCCTCAATTAAGATTACCTTTATATCTAGTGCAAGAATTTGGATCCCAGGCCTTACTTTAAGTACTGTATGCCCACAGGACTTCTCCTTGAATAGCAGATATTTCAAGCCATGTTTCGAACTTCCCAGAATGTTTTATAAAGAGGATTGGCATGTGGGAGTGAGAGTGCCTGTTGCTTAAGTGAAGTTATTGTCAATTATTTTAGAATCCATGCTGTGAAATATATGTCTCATTTAAACATCAATTGATATCAGTCAGGTGTGTAATTCAGTGCTAATGTT